CAAACTCATGGCCATCGAGTCAATTCCGATAGATACATCGAGATCCTATGGGGCAGGGGAGGGGTCTACTGGCCCTGTGGTTTCCAAGACTGTAACTCTTTCCGGCCTCACCTGTCTCCCTGTTTCTCTGGCCACAGTTCACGCATATGCCACTGCAAACATTAGGGATTCCTTAAGCAGACAAGCCCCATCTATGGACACTATGATGGAGCGGGAAGACCTAGACATTTCCAAAGGGAGCGCCACCACCCCAATACAGGAGGCCAACTAAGCTCCTGCTGGCACAGGTCCCTTGGAGAGAGACACACACACCCCCTCCAGGGAAAGACAATGGAAAGAGCGGTAGCGCCTCCAGGTGCCTGCAGCGGAGTGAGGAAAGGGTAAGGAAAAAAACAGCCATCTGGGCACACCTGACCTGACGAGGGGCTCAGCCACTAGCTTTCAGCACCCGATTTTCCATCGCCGTGATGCTTTTCATGGGCTCGTATTTATTATCGGAAGCCAAAACTCTTGGCATCCAGCAATAAGAGAAATACAAATTAAAACAACAATGAGATACCACCTGACGCCGACACTCTTAGCAAAATGCTAAAGAAAATTGAAAACAATGCATGCTGGAAAGGAAGTGGGGAGATTGGAACGTTCAACCTTTGCAGGTGGGACTGTCGAATTGTACAACTGCTAAGGAAATCAGTATGGTGCTTCCTTAAACAAATGCAAATACAACTATCCTAAGATCTTGCAATCTCTCAACTTGGTCTGTACCCTAAAGAAATAAGAAACAAAACACGAACAGACATGTGCACACCAAGGTTTACTGCAGCAATTTCCATAATAGCAAAGAGAGGGCAACAATCAACAACTCCAACTGCAGAAGAATGGGTAAGCGAAGTCGGGTGTGGTACATTCATGCAACGGAATATTATGCATCCTTGAAAACAACGATGAGCCTGCCTAACACCTTAAGACATGAACAAAATTAGAGAACAGTATGCTTTGCAAAGTGAGTCAATCTCATAAAGATCAACATTTTATGTCACCATTATTATAAAGGAAAAAGAAAAATGGTTTTCACACCAAAGGAGAAGACCTTAAATGTGACAACATGGCCAGGGCCGGGGGGGCTGGGGGGAGACTAGGGAGAGAGGGGGAAAGAAGGGTGGGAAGGAAACAAACAAGCAAGAATGAACCACATATGAGAGTGAGGGCGGGTTGATGAGATACTGCTACTGATTGGATCGGAGGAGATGAGCTGTGTCACAACATAGAATGTGGGCTGGGGTTGTTTTGGTTTTGAGGTTCTATTCCACAAGCAAAAAGGAATATATATATTATAGATGACCTATGCAATACTATATAATATATATAAAATCAATAAATAAAGGGCTTGAGGGTTTTTTCCCAGAGAGAGACAGAAGGGCCACAACCTTAAAAGAAGCTTCCAGATTCCTTACACCAGCGGATCTAAGCATCAGTCTGAGTGGCTATAAAAGCAGGGAAAGTAAAACTGAAGTGGATTTGGATTCTTCTGTAACACATAAGTTTACTTCAAACAAAAACTTGCTAGCCGTAGAGAAAGCCAACCCAGCATCTTACATGTGTCCCCCAAGCATCCCCTGGGCTGACGTGAATGTGGAGGGCAGGGTCAACAAGGCTAGACCCACACGGCCAAGGGCCACAACCCTACATCCTCTGTAAGTACAAGCCAATGTTCATACAGACCCAGAAGGGGTGTGAATCAAACCTAGGTCCTGGGAGGTGGGTACTCAGTCCACAAGAGAGGGGCAGATAGGGCTTTCCTTCAGGGCACATAAACACTGAGAGCCAGCAGCAGCATCAACTAACATCCCTTCCAACCACAGCAACTAGAGTTCTTGACATCCAAACAGAAGGCCTTCAAGCGCTGGGTAGCACATCCCAAGCCTGACCTCACAGTTCACCTTGGTGATAACCAGGAGCCTGTCTAGAACATGACAGTGGTTGAA